AAACACAATGTTGTGGTATCTCAGAGTTTCTGCAGTGGCAGTGTAGGCACTGTACTCTTACGTTTCATTGAGTGCTCGTTCAAAACAGCTGTATGTTCTATATAAAACATGTTTACATAGTAAATGTACTTCCTGTAGACACAAAGAAATGTTAATGAATAACCATTCCTGCATTTCAAATTTTGCAGGGCTGTGGGAAGGATCAGTGCATGACAAAATAGTTAACGTTCACCCACTTTCTGGCACATGAAATCCGTTACTACAACTAATCCCTTACAGAGAAAAGAAAACGGAAAACAAACCGGCGCTGGCTGGTTCTACTGTGCCTTTTTTTTTTTTTTTGTAGAGAAACTGTGAGATGCATATACATGGGAGAGGAATAGAGAAGTTTCAGTGGAGAATGCCAGAAGACATGGACTCCTTCTGGTAGGCAAGGCTGTTGGCTTTAATTGTATATATTGTCTTGGATTCTCACCTTCAGAAAAAAATGGCAGTTTGATCTCACACAGTATTTACTACCCATATTTACATCCTATTGCCCAGGGACTAGGGAAGACAAACAACTGGCATTTTTCTTTCATTTTCTAATCTGAAAATCTATATGGCTTAAAAGACTTCTTAAATGATAGATCTCCATTTATCCTTGAAAATTGTTGAAAAGCAAAAATCAGGTGTTCTAACCTATAGCACTGCCCAAAAAAAGCCTCCAAAAGAAAACTCACTTTTAGGTGAAGGTCTTCCTCAAACGCAAAAACATTAAAGAATAAGAATTTGGTTTGTAGCTCTGAAGTCCCATATGATCCCCACTTCCCTACAAAGTAAGCCACTAAATTAATTAGGCTTTGCTATACAGCAATTTAATCTGAACTACATAGCTCTTTCTTCCAGTCCACTGAAAACGTACAAGATGCACAGACAGAAACCAGCACTCGTCAAGGGAAACCCAAACAGCACAGAGAAGATCCTTAGCAAAGTAAAGGATCTGAACTGAAGAAGATAGGACAGGAATAGTTTGCACCAGCAGAAATCTGCTCTGCATCTGCAAACTAATTTATGAAGAAAAGTTGATACACCATACATGGCCAGATGCACTCATGTACTGTAAAGCAAAAACAAGCTCTTCTGGGGATGTTCCAACATTTCTACACAAGATTTCACAGTGCACAAAAATCAATTCATGTGAATGAAAATCCTTTTTAGCTGCAATCTCTCCGCATGGTTTGAAAGTGCTACTGTGAACAAGGTTTTCAAAGGCCACCCAACAAGCAATGCTCAGCTAGATCTTCTTTGCAGGGTGGCACATGAATAGCACATTTCAGTTTCAACAGATTGAAAAAGCATTACCACAGCAATAAGGCTGAGACCTTAGTGCAATTTTCTCAATAAACACATTTCTTGACAATTATTATTCTTGTGCAAAAGGTACATACTACTTTTGAGATAAGATTTTTTTTGTGTGATATCACAGCAATTAATAAGGGACAATCTGGATACTTATGTTTTGTAAAACAATAATTTGTTCGAATAAGTAACTTTTTAAATTCAAAGAACTCATTCTCTTAAACTGAGTAAGGAAAGGGGGAGCTGATGAGCCTCTGGCAAATTCAAAAAGTCCTCAGCAAGTAGCGTGGTAAATGTGATGAACATCCACCTAATTATTAAAATGTTTGCAAAACTTCTTTTTTCAGAGATGTTCAATTTCTCCAAAAGTGATCTGAAAACAAATTAGAAAAAAAGTTTCATGAGAAGACACAATTAGAGACACATATAAGAAAAGCTGATGAAATCAAAAGAAAACTTGATTTCTTTATACACATCCTAAGAAAAGAGATAAGAAAGCGAACGTCAGCCTGGAGTGCTGTTTTGAATTACCAAACACTGCCACCATGTGTTCACTTCAAAGGCCATCAGGCTGCTTCAAAACAGCTAGATGGGAATTATTAAAAGATAAAGTAAATCAAATTTGTTGCTCTACTTCTTACGTAAACATTTCTGTATTATGCAATAGTGATGACAACCCCAACAAGGTTTTAATTACTTTTAGCCAGTGGTGTCACATTTGTATAAGAACACATGGTTCTGTTTCTAACCCCTTCTATCATCATTGTGGAGAGCACCAACTAGAGAATGACAGAAAGAACATAAAGGGCAAGCTTTGTTTCCACACACAGATGCCTACCATAATAGATGTTTCACTGTATTTGTGCAGTGACTGCCTCGGTAAACCTCTAGTTGGTCTTGATGTTTCCTAGAAGGTACAAAAAATCATAATGTTCACACAACCACAATTTAATTACTTCAGAGATTGCCTTTTCTTCAAATATTTATGCATATTGAATAAAACCGTTCACATAATGATGGAGACAATGGATTCAGAGAACTTCCTACAACATTAATTTTCACTAGTTCTATTATAAGCAACAAAGGATTTCTACCTTTACTTGAAAACTATATCCATGCCAATTTGAATTAAGAGCATTCTATTTGTTACTATTGAATAAAATCTCCCACCTGAAAACTCTCCTTGAGATGGAAGGCAGGCAGAGGAACTACATCTCATTACTGAAAAGCTAAAATGATTAGAGATGCTCCTCTTCTTCAAATGGGACAGTCAAGAACGTGCAAAGGAATTCCAATGAATTCCCATAGCCAAGAAGATGAATACCTGATTTTCTTCCACATTTGCCAAACTTCTGTTATAAATTCTTTGAGTTGGGATGCCTAACATTAGCTTTTAAGACCAGGAAATATTAGAAAAAAATTCTCAGTTATTTTTAACTAATACACACACACACATAAATTGGTTAATTGAACTCAGAACTTACAGGAATCATCACTCCCTCATCAGCATTATCCAGCAAAACAAAATACTTTAACAACTTTCCTCAGAGGATGCTGGATATTCCATGTCTATGTCTGTGTAGATTCACTGAGTGAATACCTCAAGGAAAACACAGACCTCAGGGAGCAAGGCTGACAATTAAAGCAGATCCAAGTAACACTTGGATGAAATGCCACACTTGCAAGAAAACATTCTTTGGTACAAGTCTAGATATTTGAAATTTCCAGAATTTTGAAAAAAGACTGAACAACTATTTGAATGCCTAATGGATGACTATGCAGTTTTGGACAGCTCAGATCCTGAATTAATTTCCTTTAGGACAACAAAATCAGAACACTTGCATTTAAATGTGATGTGTTTTGTCAGTGTTACTCATGCATGACACTGGATGTCTTAGGTTATTCCAAGCTTGTTTTGCTCTCAGCAATACTCTCTGAGTGTTCACAGTTAAGACTCTTTCTAATAACTTAAAAGTGATTCCAAAGAGATGGCAAAGATGAGTAATTGAAGTGGAAAAGTAAGTAACTGATAAAGGACAAACCCAATGACCTCTACCATATCTCTTGCCATTTGTTCTTCAATGTGCATTGTAGGATATACACTTATTCTACAGCTGTATTCCACAAGTCTTTTAACAGCAGGAAGAACTCATAAGCCATAAGCCCTACTGGCAAATGACAACATTAAGTCAGAATAAATAACTGGATTGTCCCAGCCTGTTCAAGATTTGTTTAACAATAGATGGCAGCAGTGTTCCCATAAGAGAGTTTCAGAGGTAGGAAAACAAACCCGAAAAGCATCTTTAACAAAATTGCCAGAAGTCCATGTTTCTTACCGCGGACTTAGAGCAGCAAATGACATCAATGGCACTAATTACAAAAGAAGAAACTGTCAATGTGCTGTATCTTAGGTAAAAGTATATGAAGAGAACAGCACACAAGATAATTTTAGTGAAGTTTAAATATAGGAACAAAAGGAGAGCTTATGCTGTCGAAAATATACATCTATAGTCTATAAAGGTGCTTTTCAGTACATGAACACACTTCCAAAAGGAGAAAGCATGTCAGCCATTTATGTACTTCTAAAACATGACTGTGTTTTAGTTTCTTGATCTCTTTCATACAGTCAATATGTAAATCCTAAATAGTTTTTGCCTTACAATACTTATCACCCACTCCCTTACAATACTTACCACCATCAAAGCAAGTGTCATCATAAATGTCACTACCAAGTCACACCTAGCTGAAGTTAACATATCTGAGCAAAGTCAAAGTATATAAGCCTCCAAAAATATCATTAACATTTGCCAACTGAGGTTTTTAAAAAAGCTGAAATTTTACACTGTGGCTCATACACTGCATTTAATTCATTATTCTCTATTCTTTATCTTTTTTTATCTAGTTCAAACTTCTTCACACCCTTTAGATTTCATAGCAATAAAAAAGCTATGACATAGCTAAATTTCAAACACACACGATATATTTCAAGAGTAACATAAAGGAAGCAACATGATCATAGTGTATATCAATCCCCCACACCAAATAAACCAAACTCTCACTGTGATTACCAGTCAAGAAACATTGGAAAGAAGCTTATTAAAATGTAACTTGAATCTCTAATCCTTTGTAGGGACAAATATTCTCCAGACAGTACCCCTTGGTTTTACTCTCCATAGGAGAAAGCAAATGGATAGACACTGGTGGTCTTCTGTGAATCTGTTCTTTGAAATTCTATTCTTTGGTGATGAAAAAGGGGGAGAATTTATTTTAAAAAACCAAACTATTCAAATGAATGTTGTGTGCAACAAGAGGATAACTTTCTGAACCACAATGAATATGTGTCTGTGAGCATGTGCACATGAGTGTTCATCCACTGACTAACTAAATATGTATTGGGAATGAGTAGGTGAAATTAAACAAAATAAACACATGTTGTGCTAAAGTTATTCCACCTTGTATCCTTTAAATTATGGTATATCAACAACTGGTTATTGTGTTATCAGCTCTACCTCAATGCAAGATCTTACACTGTTTAGAACTAATACCAACAACCACAGGTGCCAACGAGCGCTATTCTATGCTCATTGTTTCCTAACCTGTTGAACACAGCATCTGACATAAATTCTAGTGTATTGCAAAGTAAAAAATTACTTTTTGAATTTAAAAATCTCAGATCTTTTATTCACACTCTTTATTTAGCTGTTTTTCAATACAATAGAAAACTACAAAAAAGCGCCCCAATGTACAAAACACAAAATATATTTACAGTAGAACTTGCATTATCCTGATTTAGTTCACAGTAAATCTTTTTCAGAGCATTCAGTAAACAATTCATTCTATGAAAGCTTGATCATTCATCTCCAGTCTCAACAGCTACCTTCTAATAAAAAGACTATATTTTGCATCCAAATTTTGACAATGTCTGATGAAGTTTGTCTTTGAATTAGACTTGACAAACACGAGGACTCCAGAACTCTTTAGATAGTACAATGTCCAAACAATCTTAAGCCCATTTAATTCATGTAGCCAGATGCATTAACATTAGCTTTCTGTCACTGATTTTTCTTATTTTTATCAAAGCCTTGTTTGTAAGTTCCATGGTTTCATCCCACTTGTTTTTCTCAGGGCTTGTGTATGTCACCAAGTTTTCAGTATATTGTAAGATTAACTTCAAAAACCTACGAGAAATAACACCAGAGAAGAAAAGCTTTTAAAAGGATTTAAAAAAAAAAAAAAAAAAAGAAAAATATCTCAATGCCTGATTTAAAGCTGCTAACGTCTTCAAATATCCAAATCTTCCTCAAGATGATCAATACATTCAGAGGTTTGTTCTACTTCTGGAAAAGAACCGCTCCCTCACTCTCACAGTAGGATGCAAAGATTTTCAGAACTGCAATTAACACTTCCATAGAAAGAATAGAGTGACAAAATGTGTGACAGAATTTTCCCCAAATGGCTTCCTTTCTTTTCTCAGTCAAATGTTTCACAATGTATATGACACCCAACCAGCTATTAATTGACACACAAAGAGAAAAATCACCAACATCTTAAATACAGCATTTATGTATTCTTATTTGAGTGTATGATTGTTTCCTATCTATACTAAGGGGCAGTCTAATAAAAATTAAAAATGTGAATAACTGGACCATATATTTTCAGCCGAGTTATTTTAGTTCTTAAGTGAACATTGTCTGAGGTATAATTATGACTAATGATAGAAAATCTCTACAGGATTTGTATTACAGATCAGAAAGGAATATGTACAATTCCTATTTTCATAAAGTAAGTTTAGATACTCACTTTAGATACTGCTGATAATCAAAAGGATTCTTTTTACAAACGGCATGAACACTGACTACTTCCACAGTAATCAATATTAAGATGAGTCGCAACACTGGAGACAAAAATTTAATGCTAGAAATAAAAAAAAATAATAAAATAAACAAACTAAAACCAATCCTAAAAAAATATCACTATAATCGAAGAATTCTTCAGACTTCTGCACCAATCCTAAATAGTTGGATATTGCAGAGTGGGGGAAAAAAAAAAAAGGACTATGAAATGTCCTTCAGCAAAAAGTGCAAATCCCAGAACAAGGGATTTGATGATGAAACCTCCGAAAGAGGAAAAAAATGAAATTCATAAAGTTAAGATTCCAAAGAAAAACTCATGGGCACCCATTATTCCATAGATAATAAAGCAGATTTCAACTGATTTGCAAAATGTATCATCGTTTTCAGTTTAAGCTGTTTCTTAAATAATACGGTTAACATTTTTAGGAACATAACCTGGCCAATATTACAAAATCTACAGTTTTCCCGGTTTTTAAAGTAGATTCATAAAACCCAGGAAAGCACTTAGGAATAGGAACAAAACTTAATGAAATATTAAACAATCTACACATAGATATATCTATATATAAAGATGCTGATTCAGGTATAATTATAAAAAGCAGCAAACTAAAGTAGATAAAGTCTTCAAATCAGTTAAACCTATTGCATTCAGATAAATCTTGAATGTCATTTATATGTTTAATGAACAGGAAAAGATAGCATCTACAAAAATAAAATCTATCATTTAAATGATACTTAATTTGAAAGCTTGTAATTTACAGTGAAGTAATCCAGCAATGCTAAAAAATACCCACTGAATTATTCTCCAGTTTGAGATTTTCTTTTTAGTTCAACAGTGCTGCTCAACAGAAATCTAGTTTGACACTTAATTCTGAAATGGTTAATGAGAACATGCGAACACTGTTGACTTTAACCTTCTAAGACAAACCACTGAAAGCCAGCAACAGTAGAGTGCAGCCACTCTCTCTCAGCCTAAGCAAAGGAAAACCATCAGCCAACCTGTTCAACATCCGTAGATAGTTATGCCTCTGACGAGAACGTAGAGTCTTGTTCACCCACTGCGCGTATCTCACCTCAGCGCCGGCAATAACTTGTTCGGACACTTGATGGCACTGCGTGCTTATTTTGCGGAGTATCACCACAATTTCCAGAACCGGTCGAGGAGAATAAAGCGTGCAAATACGTGTATCGCAAAGTTCAGTCAACAGCCTCCAAAACAGGAAGGGGTTTTTAATGTCAGTCTTTCGTTAGCTGGATTTAACATGAGATACATTTCATATTCAGTGTGGTTTGACTCATAATGTTTTAACTCAGAAAACCTGGAAACTAACTGCCCTTACCTCAAGACTGAAAAAAAGCAAGGATCTGTGTAGCAGGGGTAGTGATTGCGTTCTTTATCACTTTACTGAATATAAATGCAAAACTGCTGGTGATGAATATGTTTCCCATTTCAGATAAAGAAACAAAACCACAATAAATGAAACTGCCTGCCTGAAATGATATACTGAACACATCAAATCACAGCAGGGTTGTGGTTGAAGCCTCCCACCATAGTTCAACTCATAATGAATTAACATTCACCATAATAAAACTCACTGAAACAAATGGTATTAATTAGTACTTCCATTAGTGTGTGGTCCTTCTTCTGGGCAAAACAAGCAGCAGACTTAACATTTTGTAAAATGCAGGTGGTGAGACAATTTTTTTAATCAACACCACACAGATCATGCTTTGTTAAATCACACAAATACGTTCCTGCTGTCCTATTCTAATCTACTACACTGATGTGTCACACATCACTTCAAACACTGTTTTTACAGAAGTGTTTGCTAATCTCCCTCATGCTCAAATCACCTCTGAAACAGCAACACATCAATGACCAAAAGTGACAGAGGCAGAAAAATTCCAAAATAAAGTTTATGACTTTAGTAATTAGGCTTCTTTTTCATAAATGAGACAATTGAAGATTGGTGGGTGGGAAAAACAGGCCCACACATTATGTAAGTAAAGCAACAGGTAAAATCCTCTTTGCACTATCCTGCTCATGCCTAATGGGTTTGATTAGGAGTGTTTTGTTCCAACATACTCATGCAGTCATGGGAGTCTTAAGGCTCCCTTAAGAGTGGAAATCAAAAGTCAAATTGTTTTGAACATTATTCCAAGTAGACATAATTGGAACTAACATACCTCCAAGTCTGACACCATGTATTACAACATATCTTCTATTTCTGAATCTTGATATTAAAGCATGTAAAAACATAATTATTTAGTAGTGTATGAGCATTTTGAATGCCACACACAGTTGTGACATCAAATACATTAAAACAAATTTCTGATGCAATTTTAGCACACAAAACGGATTAAAACCAACCTAATCTAGTCAGTATATAAGCATTTTAATTATTTTGCTTTCCCAGCCTGAGAGAAAAATAGTTATTTTTTCATGTTAATTTCAAAGTAAAATCTCTACTGTAATTCCCAAATCTACAATGTCCCATCTTAACTTTCAAGATGATGCTCAGTTGCGATTCTAAGATTTTCAGATTAAATCAGCAACAACAATAGAAAAGTGCATACAACATTTCAAGCATTGCTCTGAAAACAGGGAAGCGAGTAACTCAGGTTTGAGACTTCTTATGTATGTAGAAGCTGAGAGCAGGAACCAGGAGGCAAACTCACCTCTCTGTTAGGACACTATTGATTGGATCATCTGAACTACAGCAGTTCTGGGGCATATATTGCACCAACTGAGATGTAATTTCAGATATCATCAAAATTAAAGTACTAGCTTCAGCGTTTTCTTCCAAACTTAAAAAAAGAAAAAAATTAACATTTGAGATGATAAAAGTGTAGTACTTATTATTACTCAAATAGCATAGATCAAGATGTAGATTTTTTTTTATAGTAGTGTATTTAATTCTCACTCTCTGATACTACGGTTCTTTTCCCTCCATTTTATAAGCATGATTTTATTTCTCCAACTAAATACAACCTTTTCTCAGTCTCAGCAATCTTCAGAACCCCTCTTAATCCTCCCTTCATCAAAATCCTGCAGTATACTGAATATGTGATAGATGCATTGTATTTTCATTTCTCAGCTCTAAACAAGTACAATTTCCTCCAGTGATATTATTAACGACTTCCTCCTTTTCAAATAACAAGAGAACGTTACACTCTTTTTCTAACTAACATCTTATATAAAGTCTTCCACTATTTTGGTTACCAAGTCCTTTTCAAAATAAGGCATTATTTTCTGTTTTACATTTGGTGACCATTTCTTCAGAAACAGAATATGGAGCCACTAACACCTCTGTGTTTCAGGTATTTTCTCACTCCCTTCAAATTAGCACATTATTTATAGCTTTTACAGTACTTGTACTGATGTGCACAGCACAGATTAAGCTAAAGAGAAGAAAGGGGTCTTCTCACAACCCCTCTGGCATCTACAATCTTTCTAGTAAAATATATGGAGAGACATTTCACGGTCTCAAACCCTATTCTTCATAACTATTTTGAAAACTATCTTATATAGCATATATATATACCCTTTAATTGTTTGAACTTGTTCCTCAGACACTGTTGGCAATCCGGACCATAAGTGAATGCTCTTCATACATTCCAGCACCTTAAAAACACATAACAAAAAATGTTTTGTAAAGTGTAGCCTTTGACAGACAGGCCAATGCATTTCACTTTGCTTAGTGGCAATTTCAGAAAAAAACTAAGTAATCATAATTATGTAAGCCAACTTCAATTGTTAAGGTCTATGTTAGGGCAGAAAGTCTTGATCACACTTCCATGCTAAAACATTATCTGAATAAACTAGCTGACTATTCTTTCTACATTTCTTTTAATGTAAAAAGTTAACTAACATAACTTTTATAACACGCTGTTTGAACACTGTGGAAAAGTAAAAGTACTAAGTATGTCTACTGTACACCCAAATCAAGAGAGGAACGTCCTAAAACAGTTCATTAAACTGACTGGCAGAAAAGTACCATGACAATGGAAAGCAGATTTTGCTACAACGACAGAATCTTAGTCAGCTAGTTTTCATACAATAAAAACCTTAGCAATAGCCTAATCCAAAATTCCTGGAGACATGACCAACCAGTGGTTCTGACATAAGAAAGCATAAGAAAATTAAAAAACTACAGAACAGCAAACATTCAGGTAAGAATAAACCTATTCAGTGATCTAGAACACATACACAGTATCAGTTGCATCAATAGGAGTGTGCATAGTTATATCTCATTTTAGCAACTCTAATTTCCTTTAATTTTAAAAGATATAGCAAAAAACAATTAAAAAACATGTAAGATTTTAACTGTTTTTAGGACAAACAAAGCACGAAGAAAACAATTAGACTAATTTTAATGATTCACATTTTAAAGACTGAAATGATTTCATAGATGTGGACACCTACCTGTTTCTTGAGACGGGAAATTGGATGAAATCGAGATTGGTAGCAACTTGCACAGTTCATCAGTGGTTTTATGACCGTGTGTTCCTGATTTACAAAATCACAGACAACACACAATAATCATACACAGACCTAGACTTATACCTCATTTTATGCAAGCCACCTATAGCACTGATGTCAGTAAAGACTTCCGAATCCGTGAGGGCTGAAAGAAGTAATCAGCACAGCGAGTGGTTAAAGCTTAATTTCACACATTTTACCTATGAAACCTGACAGCAGCTGACAGAAAAGCAACCAAGTATTCTCATAATGCAGCAGCATGCAATACTTCTTAAGAAACTAAAAAGAGCTGCAACTAATGAATGAAAGCTTTATCTCACGGGTTGCTGTATCGTATTGAAAGAAGTAATCCCAAATATAAACAGGAAACTGGGGAGAGCAAATACAATAATCACTAATGTTGACAAACATATTGCTAGACAAAAAGTGTTTACAAATTCACAGTATAAGTATGGATACAAACAACATTAGCAAGCCACCATTATTTACAATGTCTTGGAAAAAGAAAATCTCAGTAACTACATACCTCAGTGGGTGAGCTACAGCAGTTGTGCATACCTTTTGGATAATTCAGCAGATAAACAGGCTAGGTATCAATACAATTTTACAAAATTAAGTGGAATCACTATAATTTATGGATTAACCACGTGAATAAGGACTGGTTAAGCCAACAAATTAAGGCACAGGAAGAAAGGGTAATCTTTTGGAAAACTTTCTGTATTTATTTCACTACAAAACTAGGCAAAAACATATTTTCACAATTTTTTACTTGGATGAATACTTCATTTCCACAAAAAGCAGCTCTCAAGAAAGATTCAGTCAAACTCTCTAAAAACATATTTGGTATCCAAAGTAACCGAAAAAAAAATCTTCTGAGAACATAATGCTAATCCCTACCTTAAGAGAAAACATATTCTCATCTGAGAATCTGCAGAGAAGAGTAATTGCAAATGCAACTATCTGATTAGCTACTTCTCTGGGAAATGCTTCCAGATTGATTTCTCCATGGCTTAAACGATCTCTTACACGTGGACCCTCCTGGTGGTTCAAGAAATCCCAAAGAAATTCCTGTGGAAACATACATCAAGTGTACAGAATTCTATTCTATGTGTATGCACATAGAATTGAATATATTCAGTGTACAGAATATCCCTGACAGACAGGTATGTGATCATGTCTGTAGGAAAGGGGCTTTCAGATATTCAGAAAAAAAAACAATGCAAACTATACTCATAACAAAAAAAAAAAGTGCAACTCATCCATCTTGGTAGCTTCTGAGGAAATTCAAAACTAACATACATGCTGAATTCAGAGAGCTAACAACAGACTTCTGTCGTGGGTTGACCCTAGCCAGGTTCCAAACACCCACGAAAATTGCTAAGAACTAGGAGAGGTCACACAGGCAAGACAGATTCAATGTGAGGATAGCACTAAAATTTATTACTAACAGGATAGGAGCTAAAGAGTGAGAGATAAAACAGATTTAAACACACTTTTCAACCACCCCTCCTTCCTTCCATATTCTCCCTCCTCCTCCTGCATCAGTGCAGGAAGAGAAGTCCACCTAAACCTATAAGGCAACAGGTCTTCCAAGACAGCTGCACTTGTGAGTCACCCTTCTCCACTCACAGGGCAACAGGTCTTCCATATCTGCTACACTTGTGAGTTACCCTTAGATGGGCTGCAGCGGAGAGCCTGCTCCACCAAGGTCTTTCTCCATGGGCTACAGGGGCTAAAGCTCTGAGTCATCCCCCTGTCCCATTCCATGGGTCCCTCCCATGGGAAATAGTCTTTGGTGGACTTCACCCACATGGATCCACCCCCCCCTCGGGCCGCAGGTCTTGGGATGCAGGAGTCTCTATACCCTGATGGTTTTTTCATAGAATGCAGTCCTTGATGCAGAATACTGTACTGGCGTGGGTTCCCCACAGGGGTCAGTAGTCCTACCCAGAAGACACTGCCCCAGCGTGGGCTTCCCTCTCCACAGGCCACAGATCTTCCGAAGGACCCCACTACCCCTGGGCCTCCCACGAGGGTAGCAGTCCTCCATTTTCATGCATCCACTTGTTCCATCATGGGTTCAGCTGGCCCGGTGTGGTTCCAGCGCTGTGCCTGCCCCGGGGCAGCTGCTGTGCAGCCCTGGGCCATGGCTGCCACTCCAGCTTGGCCTGGCTCTGCTCCAGCGCCACACCTGCCCTGGGCCGAGGCCACGGGGCCTGGGCCTGGAGGCTTCCCTCTGCCACCCCCCGGCTCCAATTTCTTCTGTGCAACAACCTTTTCCCTTAAATATGTTATCACACAGGCGCAACAATTGCCTCTCCCTTTGCCAAACAGCAGGAAGTCCTTCCTGTAGCCAGCTGTCATTGGCTCCCCGGGGGGGGGGGGGGGGGAAACTTCTAGCAGCTTCTAACAGAAAATCACCCCATGTAGCCCCCCCCCTCCCCCGCTGAGAAACACCAGCCACAGAAAAACCACAGAACTTCCTTCAACTTCGTGCCCCAAGCCCTCCACACCCCACTGCCTCTGGCAACAGGACAGTAACCTGAGATCTCTAAAGATCTCTAAATTCAACACCCCTAGTTTTCCTGTTCACGATATGTTTGGGTAGTGAGATGCAGAATGTGCTTTGCAGGTTTGAGCCACATTTTTGTGCCATCTGCCCAGATAGTAGAAGATGTGTCCCAGAAGCAATCAGAAATAAGTTTGAAATTTTCCTGTATGAGGCATCAGTTCTTCTTCTGCTCCATTCAGCTGAACTTCAGAAGTCTAAAGAAAAGTATCTCTGAGACATCTACATTTCAGAAGGAAAGGTAGTCCTATATCCTAACTCAATATAGCTTGTGAGACACTACCTTGCATCCTTCCCAATGAAAAAGGCTAACAAGCTTCTGGTTCTAAGGTGCTGGATACAAGCTATATGTAATAAATAAATGTTAGGCATGGTCATAAAGACATTACTGAACTAAAAAAAAAACCAAATGAAAACAACAAGAAAAAACAAACAAACAACCAAACCACAGAAAACTTTCAAAACACTTGCCATGGCAGGTTCTTCAAGAACTACAGGTAGCTGGTTGACTTCATCGTTATCCAAATGCTTTGCTAGCATCTAGAAGAAAAGTAATTTGAACAGAAACTTACTATATTACTGAAAGCCAAATAATCAAAGAAGAAACATAACTAAAGTAATTAGTTTTCCTGATTTTATGCAATTCCTTCTGCCACTCTAGAATCAAGGTCCCTAATTACTACTGACAATTTGAGATAACTCAAACAACTTGTAAAATTGAGGATTTCTGTTTGCAATATTTATTTGTATTTATTTTGAATAACTGAATCTAGGAAAAATGACAGAATGTTTCTTTCTGTGGAGTGAAGAATTTCAAGCTAAAAACATTTAGAACAAAATATTCCGTTTATTACAATGTGTATTAATTTTGATATTTTCTGGAGGATTAAAAATTTAAAATGTTTACTGTCCATCATTTTTTATGTCGAAAAAAGCTAGAAATAATGTCTTATCCAACACAAGAAAGTGCACTCAAGACTCTAGTAATGGGAAACATGCATGTGCTTAAATTCTGACGTTGATATATATTAAATTAAAAAAAAAAAATCACAGTACCTCATCGAAAGTGGTGTAGAAAGCAGAAGACTAGAACAAAAGACAATATTATTTTATTTTCAAACAAAATCAAATAACTAGACATGTATATCAAACTTTTATTTATTCATTTGCATGAGATACCAGAGGTGCATGAATAGCAAAAAAAAGCCCCCTTACAAATGAAGGGAGTTTTGGATTTTGTGCTGAGTTTTTTTACAATAAATATATCATGGCTTACTTTCCACCCTAAACTACTGTTTCTGAACACTAACCTTCAACTACTTTTTCAGTTCTTTTTACTGGCAGACATTTTAAAAAAATTAAAGGCATTCGTGAATCTCAACTGGAAATTTGTAAATAATTTTCCATAATTGACTGACATTTTTTTTTGGTAAATCTGTAAATGTTTATAGACACTATTCTTCAAGAATAACTATTTTGCAAATATTGTAAGCACTAAATCATAATTGACTTTAGACAGAAATTTTACCTCAGCTGTCAGCAAACGATTTGGACATTTATTAGTTGTAGTGAAGAGCAATCTAAGTCCAACTTCCAGCTGAGGAAGTAAGAGAATCACACTGTCAGCATACCTGAAAAATTAACAGAGATATCCAGGTTTTTCTCCATTCAGCCATTTCAGACTTAAAGTCTCAGGCCAAACGACCTGGACCAAAATTCCCTGGTAATGCACTTTGTAAACAAACAATAAATGACTACCTGTGCCAAACATAAACTGATCACTGAATACAAGCTCAGAGGCTAGAATAACTTACTGAAAGGTGAAGCATGGGAGATAAAAACAAAACAATACACTTTTTTTAAAAATTCAAAATCTTAATATGTGGAGATTTATTTTGCTTGCTTTGTAAGTCTCTCCTTTGTTGCTACATCTCCAACAGTTCTTTTTAGGGTTCAAAATATAGTTTATAACCTTATTTGGTACAAAACAAAGTCATAAGTTGAGAAACTTTCTGAGGGATCACCATAACAATGCCTAATGATATGTTGGCATAAGTTAAGTAACAGACTTAGTAAAAAGCTTTGGAATCTGTGAATGCAGATTATAAATATAGAATATATCATTCTATATAGAATAAATTCTATTAAAAAATAATTTAAAAAATTTGACTTACCTGCTTTGCTTGAAAGCTGTTAAAGCAGCGATCCAAAATGGTAACATTGTTTTTAATACAAAACTGGACAGTTTTACAAGCTCTTCAGCTATGGAAAGTGTTTCATTATTGAGATCTACAAGTTAACAAAACAACATTGAAAAACTACATATAATCTCCAGTTTACTAATGCATTCTTAATATTTCACTGAAAATATAATACTATTTCAACATTTGTAAAGGGAGATTTAAAGTTATCCAATTTATTTTAACTTTGCAGGTACAACAGTAGCCATATTTAGGATCAGAATTTGAGTATATAAGATTGCATTTGTGGTGATAATATAAAATTACAGAGTAAAAACAGTTAAAAAGTCATGTTTGCTTTTTACTGAGATTAAAACACTACACAGCAACTGGACCTAGATTCCGTGGAGTTGTTTTCCACCTACTTCAAATACTTTTAAAAAGTGTAATGTTAATTAATCATTTCTGTTCACTCAAAATCAGTACAGCAGCATGAATATTTGAACATGAGCACATTGTTTCTACTTTATTAATTTTCTGTGTTGACACGTAGCATAGTAAATTAACACTTCATACTTCAATGCTACCATGTAATGAAACTCATATATATGCATTCACATTATAAATGTCTTATCCAAAAGAAAGATTAAAATGGTAAGTGGGACTTGATTGCACTTAGCATTTTTTAAATCAAATCAAGTTATAGCATTTATACTACAACATTATTGGGATGTTATCAGCTTGATTTGGTTCCCAAAAGCCCTGTCTCAGTTCCATGGATGGATGTTCCACTGGCAAACAGATTATATAGCACAAATCGACCACGATGACCACTGACACCAAGACTTCCCATATGCTGCTGTTGCCTTAAAAATAGTAGGAATAAACAAAATAAGGTCTGAAGACAGGGAGATGAGACAGTTTTAATCGGACTTCAAGTGTTTCCCTGAGAAAAGCATTAGTATACTGAAGATGTGCCATCATCCTTTACTGTGTTTCAGCACTATCTTCCCTGTAAGACTGAGGGCACTCCTGCTGGGACCCTTGCAGCTGGAACCCATTGTTTCTGGAAGAAGTTAGATTTTGTAAAGGCAAACTAGACCACCGTTAGATGAAATGAACTCTCATAATCAAAAAATGGAGTATACAGTTGAAGTCTTTTAGAAGCAGTCATATTTCAACGTATTACAATTATTTTAGAACACAGTATTTTTTGATTAAATAGTCAGTGCAACTGCCTATTAAAAAGCTGTCCTACAATCATGACTGATTCATCTAATGACAGTATATACAGGTATCTTAGTTAAGATTTAATCTTGGAACTCTAGAAGATGCATTATTTTCAACAGCGCTTTTGGACAATCAAACAATAGCAAATATAAGATAATAAAAAACTTGCTAATATTTAAATACTTGCCTGGAAATACATCAAGCTCCTCTAAGCTAACGAAGATCACATAAGGTCGATGTAGTAAAATGCATTTATTTTGCAGAAGATAAGTCTGCAACAACTGACCCAACCCTGCAGTTAAAAAAAGCAGCATAGCACAATATCTAGGGAGAATAACATAATATATTAGAAAAGCTTATACAAAGAAATCTTCTGTAAAGATCAACATTTCTGAGTTAGGGATAAAGGGGTTTTTTCACTCTTTCAAAGAACACCCAAAACCTACACTCCCCACGTGAGCAGGGGCACTTAATAACTAATTATGTTCACAAGCATGAAAAAAAATTAAAGACTAGAATCAGGAAAAAAGCATCGCTGTATTCTCCATTGGCTGCTGTTGCTCCTCCTTCTACCCTATTCCTGTGTCTTTTGTTCCAAGTTATTCCTCACTGCCCTGACAGAATTTTAAAAAAAAAGTTAAGTTTTCATACTTAACTTAACAGTACAAAAAACACTGCTCCTAATAATGGCTGAAGTATTCTACAGAAATCCATTTCCAGAAAAGAAACAGCAGCAGCGGAAATCTGTCAGAATACTGACAGAGTCCTTTGGACAATTTATTTTTTTTTCCCCATGAGAGAAGTAAGTTTTACCATCCACTTTTCAAGAACTCGCAAGTCTGACTGTTAAGAAAATGAGATTTTTTTGGTAACTTACTTGGCAGGAATTTCTTGTGGGGATGCAAATCCATGCCACAAAACATTACGAAGATTCAGACCATATGGAGAGCCAATGAATATCCTCAGTACATTCATCTAATTAATAAACAAAATAATTAGTGCATGAAGAAATATATTATTTATTTATTATCTTTCTTAATTTTATTATCTTTCCCTAACAGAAAACTTCAGAAGTTATTGAGAAACTATAATATCTACTTTCAACATGACTGGCCACAGCTTGTCACAGTGACAGAAACTCACTATTTGCAATTCCCAGCATTCTCTGAAAGGAAATTGTTCATCTTATTTGTACAGGTTATAGATATGTACAGGCTATGGGACAAACAAAACTAATTATTGGACATTCCAAGCAGTTATGACAGGCAAAAAAATGAGATAAAGTATAGTTCTTACTTCTTGTAGTATAAGTTCACATAATTTAATGCAATTTAGCATAAAATATAGAATTTGCATTCAAAGTTGTATTCCCAGATCACTATCAAACAAAATGAGAAACTGGTTTATTTTTCAAATGTAAGAATTTAAGTATTCCATATGCCATCAAAATTCGAGAAATAGTTTTTGTTACACTACTAGACTGGCTAACAACACAGGCTTCTGCAGTTCACACCCAATATTTTGTTCTAAGAAAGAATGTGCTCTTGTAAGACTGCATGTGGAAGATCCACCTACTCTGTTTACACAAGAGTGCAAATATCATCAAATTTTTGTGGATTTTTTTTTTTTTTGCAAATTAGTTTCCTCTATTTTGAAAAATTCTGATATGGTAAATGTTATAAAGCATGTTACTACATTGGTGGTCAAGAGTAACACAGCTTATCAGAAACAGCCAGTGCATGATGTGAATTTTCAAATGGTGCAACTCAGAATGAGGCAGATGAACTCTGCTCGTCACCTGCCAGGCATGTGAAATTTTACATATGTAGGTTTTTCATACAGAAAGGGAAATAAGAACTTATGATCTTGCCTTTAAAACTCTTTCTTTTACAATATTAATTTTTTCTTTGAATCATATAACCCCCAGACGGTAACGTATAAAATGAAAATAAATCTACGATATACAGAGTTTGCAACCTCTTCTTCAGTACAAGTAAAGGCTATGCTTGGACACCTGCCATTTGGCCGGAAGAAAACCAGCTCAATATTTATTACTTATTTCAAAAGTGTGCACTTACTACAGCTTGTCCAAAGATAACTGCTAGCTGCTTAGATGCAAGCAAGTCTCTTAGAAGGAAAGGGCAATCGTTACCCTTAAGTAAATATACCTATTAAAAAAAAAAAGCAAAACAGATAACATAAATAATTTAGTGTACTTCTTTGTATTTCAAACATATAACTTGATTATTTCGCCCAGTAACCATTTTCATTATTGTAAAAACATCATCATCATTGGTCTACTCTGGCCTCCAACCAAGAGATCTGGAGACACACTATCTATAATGCTGCTGTTTCCTTTGAGAACACACACAGGATCACTCTCAAGGAGAAAAGACAATATAGAAAGAATCGTGTCTTGTCGATACCACCTAAGGAGTTGTTCTGCTGTGCCTTTTGCAACCGGACTTGTCTATCTCGTATTGGCCTTTTTAGCCACCAGCGCGCTTGCAGCAAATGTGGGTAGAGCCCTTCCCAAATCTTCGTTCACAAAGCCTGGCCATGATGATGACAATGACAATGATTGTAAAAACAGTAATCAAACAAAACACAGCAAGTCCTTAAAAAGGCTTTAAATTATGTAATTTCATGACAAATTAAAATTTAGGTAACATTTCAGAAAAGAGTGAATATCCTTCTTAATGTTTCCATTTTTACAGTGTCTGTACATGTACTGCTCTTCTCTTCCAAAAAAACCCCAAACCACAAAAAAACAGTAAAGCACAACAAGAACATAATTATGGGAATAAACTCTACCAAGGACACGATATTTCATTCTTACCCTAGAAATCTACAGGGTCTGTCAGTATTAAAGGGAGGAGACTTGTGGTTTGTCTTCTGATTCAGGCCGTTCCTTAAACTAGGTTTTAATCTTGTTGGGCAACCTCAGCATCTCTATTTTCAGCTGCTATCATGCCTTGTATTCTTTGTATTCTCCCTGACAGTTTTTCCCAATTTTTGGTAATTTTTTGTTACTTTAAATTTACCAAGCCCCCTTCTCGGGCAAATTTGTCTGTGAGTTAGTCCATTGTTCTTTCTCTGTCATTTCCTTCTCTAGAGTTCCTCATAGATATTTAACAACCAGCTATTTTAACTTATCTGTGCCTAATATAGCCCAGCAGCAAACAGTCTTTGAATAGGCATTGCTCCCTTCTCCCCAGGAAAAAAGTTATTTAGCAGGTCATTTTTCCACCTGCATGCCACTCCTCAGAGAAGTTACTACACCATCGGATCTTTTGTGGAAGCTACGTTGCTCCCTGTTTCAGTTAAATAAATCAAAGTAGAAAAGACCTATTGATTAATCAAACTCTTTTCTTTTTTAATTAAATTGGTTAGTAACAGCACTCACACAAGCAATGCTACCAGCACAGGTGGAGGAGCCCCAGATGTGCTTCCCCAGCACAACTGGATCCAGAAAAGAACCCCTGTCTGACTCAAAATGCACCCGGACTATTAGTGTACTACTACAGTACAGGCTAATTTCACTTTTTCAATACACAATTAAATCCAAGAGCTCATTCCCATCTTATAAGAAGCCAAATCTGTAATAGACTCCACATCTTGGCACTTACATCACCCAAGGCTCGCTCCAAGCATGATGTTAGTTTCATTAAGCCAAGAGCAACTTCTGTAGTTTGTGCATATTGTAAAACATCAAACACTTCAAGAAATACCTGTATGATTGAGGAGAGGAAGAATGTTGTGTTAAATATTCAGAAGGAAAAATCAAATTTTAAAAAGCACAGAGAAACTTAAATATTCCTCTGAGATAGTTGCTATACAAATGTAGAAAGAAAACTGTGCCAAGGAGATAAAAATATAGATGCCTGGAGAGAAATTTCCCTAGAGCACCTCTTGATACGTAGTGCCCTACATATATAAAAATTATCCACAATAACTTTATAAGGTAAAGTTAGGCACAGATTATTAGAAAAACAAAATCCTATGATCTTATGTTAGAACAGGCCCAAAGCACCTCATGTTCTCTAATATAAAATATAATTACAAAGTCAGGGAAACTACAAGCAACCACATAACAGAGACGGACAATCAGTCACAAATTCTAAACATTTTGGTTCACGGATATCTCTTTTTTGTTCTTACATTAAACTTCCACAAAGGATTCGTGTGCCAAAATACAAACTGTTAACAGAAATTTCTATACCTCTGTGCAGTTTGTCCAGTGCAACCACGATGCATACTGAATTACGAATTGCTCCTTGGTCAGAGATTTGAAGTGCACATTAACAGACTCACATACAGGTCCTAATGATCGTATGCTTTTGATATAATCCACACTTTGATCTTAAATTGAAAAAGAGAAGGTGATTAGTGTACCAATCTTCCCAAAGGTCCAATATTTTAAAACTCATAAGGAATAAAACCTGCTAGAGCTTGTGTACATCTTTAGCACAGAGAATTTAATCCAGACTTTTCTAGCACAATTAATACACTACAATTTACTGTCTAAAACACAGATATTGAAAAGTAAAGCTGCAGTGCAAAATCAGGTAAGATTGAGCCTCTTCTCCAAATAAAACAAAACAAAACCAACTAACCAAAATTAAAAAAAAACAACAAAGCCTAAACACAAGAAAATATGGAAGTAAATAGAATCATTAATGTTCTGCATTTGTTGAAATGGGAAGAATCCACTAGAATTTCTACAGAAATTCCACATAATCGAGTTGGAAGCTAATGCAGGCTCAGCAGGCTCAGTCCAGTTGCACAACTTACACCCTTTAAAGAATGCAGATGGATATGGTACCTTACAGAGTGGTATCACTGATTCTTTTTGGTGGGACACTTTTTATTGGAAAATGAATTCTTGTCATTTACTGAGAGATAGTCCTAGAGGCAAAAACATGTGTCACTTTAACTACGTCTGGAAATTAATAACAGAGCTTGCATGATGCAATTTGGTAAATTAAAATTCAGTGAGTTCATCAGGGTATAAATGTTTTCTTTGGTTAAAAAACAACTATGAACTATTCTACATACAGAAGAGAAACCAAATGGTACTTCTGTACAAGCTAGAGTTGGGGAAACAAAACCAGAAGCAACAGTAGGAATACTGATGGCCCCTGAGTGTTTTAAGTTTACTGCAAAAGGATATAAAGAACACAGAAGGCGGCAATTATGAGGTTGGAAAGAAGCAGGACTGAACCCTTATGTTACAGGCACATTAAACTGGGAACCAAGATGAAGGCAAAGTAGCAGCTACAGATTACATGAACCTTAGGAGCCAGCAAAAGCCAAATACCAAATGTGGATGAAAAATTTAAAGCTCTTTGTAGATATTAACTGTACATACTCTAAATCAGTAGCAAAGCTAATGCTGTACTGTAGCAAAATGTTGTAACTCAGCTAGAATTGCTATCATATTGTGTGGTACTGAAATTCTGCATCAGTCTTAAATGTATCATCACCACTACAGCAGGTAAACACCAACCTGATTCAAGGTAACACACATGCTCTGTAACAGCTTGCCAACACACTTCACCATTTCCAGATAAAATATTGTTAATATCATATGTGTCTTTCTTCTCAAATCCAAGTTTGCAAATTGCATAATGCACAGGCTGAGAAAGACAAGTAGTGACCGAGTCTGACAACGCCATCTAGAACAAACACACACAAACAAAAATAATTCTTCTATCAAGAAGGCACGAGACAAAGAAAATTATTAAAACATACCCATCAGCACAGATAGACAGTAATACCGCATCTGTAAACAAGTTATTAAGGTTTGCAATACAAGTTTATGCATATGATGAAAGGAACTCTCGACCAGAAACACCCTGGGAAAACTGAGGGGTAGAACTGCTCTATTTTCATAGTGCCAGGATGATTTCAGAGTGGCTATCTACTGAACTGATAACAAGATAGACTGAAGCAGTTTATACATAGATGTTCTGTCTAATCTCTGAGTTTGCAGAGAAACTGATGCTATTTCAAGTACAATCAAGAGCTCCAGTCCTTACGACCAGCAAAATCCTTGGAGGGGGGTAGGGGAGGAACATGTGAATTCCTCCCCATTGTAGCAATGTTAGCTACAATCTAAGCATTAATGTTATTTCCACATTATTCTATATAGAAAGACAAACTGATTCATTAGCACATTTTCAACTAAAAAATTTGCAAGAATATAACGCCCCATGCTAAAAATGAAGAAAATGCTTCTGATTTAGTAAAGAAAAACCCCCAAAAGTCATGCTTTCTCATTAAGGAAACAGACAAGAAATTGTTTGAAAATGAAGTACCACAACAAATAAAAAAAATTGCATTAAATTAAAAAATTTTTTTTCTCTTTAATTAGGTGGTAGAATAGACCCTCATGATATGTAATTCCTGTATTCATGTCTTCAAGGAGAGATGAGATATTTATATGGGTATTGGCACGGAGTAAGGGTAACAGTTCCTATCGGGAATCCGTGTTAGCTGCCACCAGGAGTACCTCTCTTCTATTAAAAAAAAAAAAAATAAATAATCTGAAACGTCGATAAAATATCATTCAGACCTTCACCTTGTCCTTCCCTCCCCCCTCCGTTTCACTGTCAGGGACAAGAGGCCAGAGCAAATCCTGCACTAACGCAGCCACCCTTTATTATTATTATTT